TTACTTAACTAATTATTTTACATGTATTGTAATGAACAACACTATTAAATCTGAGTAGGGTCAAGATTATATTAAAAATCATTTATTTTCAAATGAACTGAATGCAGAAGAATAATAAAAAACTATTCTTTGAAGTAATCACCTTTCAATGAAATGACAGACTTCAGAAGTTAAGGTACTTGCTCACAAGTTTGTTGCAACTTGTTCTTGTCAAGTTTTGCCCATTCTTTGATTTTTAGTTCCTCTCCAACAAAAACTCAGAGTTTTCGATCTGACAAAACTAATCACGGCCCAAATCATCATCACCTTACATGACCAAATGCAAAAAATTAAATGGATTTTTTGCATTTGGTCAGTGATGGAGGATATGAAGTCAAGGAGAATCTAACAAAAATATGGAGACCCTAAATGACTAAATGAAGAAATGACCAAGATTCACATTTTGGATCTTAACAAGAACATGTTGTGACAATCTTGTGAGCAAGTACCTGAATGTCTGAAGTTTGTCGTTTCATCAAAATTTGGTTATTTTGAAAAAAATAGTTTTTTAATACTTCTCTGTGTTTCAAAATAAAAGATTTTCAATATAATTTTGACCCATTTTTATTCTCTGTTTTTTCATATTTTTAAATTTGTCGCACCCCTGTATAAGCATTAAATTAACTAGGTAAGAAAATTTGAAATAAATTTTGCATTGTAAAAGTTATTGTTATTGTTGCATTTGTTTTAACTAAGTTACAGCAAATATCATCTGTGAGAAAGATTGAACATTCACACATTTATAATTGACTGAGCTGGGTTCTTAAGGTATAATGGGCTCTTAAGAATAAGGCCACTTTACAGAGAAAATTATGTTTAAAGCTAGTTGTTGATGGGTGGAGAAAAAAATAGTTTTTTCTCCCTCCATCAACAGCTATTTCTTTGTTTGGTATACACAGTAAATAAAATACCCGTTATATTTTTAAAAAACATAACGGGAGTTTTCCTCGCACATAACAGGTAATTGCCTTTATGTTTAATACTTAACATGTATGAAAATAACATAACGGTTTTAGCGTTATGTTTAGTCATAGCAAAATTGCCTTAAACATAACGGTTACATAACGCTAATTTACTGTTATGTGCGAGGAAAACTCCCGTTATATAACGGGTAATTACCCGTTATGTTACCGTTATGTTGAAAACCTAACATAACGGGTAATTACCCGTTATGTTACCGTTATGTAAAATGAAAATTATCTTTTTAAAGAAACGCATAATTCTGCATGACTATTCGCACAAAGTACTTTACAAAAAAACATTTTTTTGTCAATTAAAGTTGTAATAAGAAAATAAAAATTATACATAAAATATATTTCATATCATAGTATATTTATATTATACTATTTATAATAATCATGAAAATTATTTACAAAATAATTGAATAAATTATTTACAAAATAATTGAATAAATTATTTACAAAATAATTGAATAAATTATTTACAAAATAATTGAATAAAATAACTTATTAAAATTTATAAATTCAAAAGTAATTTGCATTGCAGAAGAAAAATGCATTTTTTAGATAATAAAGCCAATTGCAAAAAGTCTCAAATATCTTGCTAACATCCCAGAAGCCGCCCAAAACAAGAATATGTTAAATCTAGCAAATAGTAAACAAATGTACTGATCAAGGGTTGAACATCCATTTCGATTTCTCTTCAACTCCTTACATCATATTCTGTTTTATTAAAGATAACTTGTGGACCATATAAACTTTGGCATAAGTATTCATGTAGTGAATCACACTAAAATTTTATAAATAAAAAATAATTATCACAATCATAAAATAAAAAATTATTATTAATACATTAAATGGAAAAAAAAAAAAGAATGTGAACCATTGCAATACAAAATATGCTTACCATTAGTTAAAATGTCAGCAATATTACAAGCAATAACAATTTTCTTTCCCCAAGAAATTTGACAACAACAGCCTTTATTATTTTCAACTATTAACTATTGAAGAAATAAGTAAAGTAGTTATTATTAGTTTATACTATTTTAATTTTACAAATAGTATATTTAACATTTTTTAATACTTGCAATACAAAATTAATGTTAAAAACAGTAATAATAAACAAACAGGTCAGATGGTAAGAGGTAAACACCATTATTACACAAGTATTAAACAACATTATTAAACAACATTATTTGGCACAATTTAATTAGTTTAATAATACTACACTAATTTATATTATATTACTAGAAAAAATTTATTATAAAAATATCATATAATATATTACAATAATCATACTATTATAGTATAAAGTTTATATATTATAAGCATATAATAGGGTCATTCCATATAAGATGAGCTAAGCCTTCTCGCGTGACAATGTTTTATTTTCTTGAAATGTATACCTCCTGTAGGTTTTATGGACCAAAAATATTTCTTCAGAATTTCAACTTAACAACACATAATTTTTTCTTTCAAAATAATTTCAAATATTAAAGACTTTTTCAGGGAACTTATTGGTCAATTTACGGACCGAAAATTGGCACAATATACAGTGAATTAAAAATTTGAAATTTTTAGGTATGCATCTTCAATACAAGAAGTATAAATGCAGCATAAACAAATTTAATGTTTTTTCCATTTTTCCGATTTCCAAATAATTCCTCAAACTAACCTTGAACATTTTTATGATAATAAAAGTTTAATTAAACATAAAAAATTCATGCAGTTTAATACCTTAATATATTTATATTAAATCATTTTTCATAACCAAGAAAATATTTAAACAAATTAACTTTGGTAAAAATTAACATTAATAAAGTCAAAAGTACTTTGCATTGCTATGAAAAGACTGCAGAACTAAAATGAATTTTTTAAATAATAAAACTTATTGCCCAAATCCACAAATATCTTGGAAACATCCCAGAAGCTGCCCAAAACAAGGATACGTTAAATCTAACAAATAAACAGCCATCAAAACAACATTATATATATTATAATTATATATATACATATATATATATATATATATATATATATATATATATATATATATATATATATATATATATATATATATATATATATATATATATATATATATATATATATATATGTATGTATATATATTATACATATGATATATATATATATATTTAATATATATATATATATATATATATATATATATATATATATATATATATATATATATGAATATATATATATGAATATATATATATATATATATATATATATATATATATATATATATATATATATATATATATATATATATATATATATACTATATATATATATATATGTATATATATACATTAAATATATATATATATATATATATATATATATATATATATATATATATATATATATTATATATAAATACATATATATATATATACATATATATATATATATATATATATATATATGTATATATATATATATATATATATATATATATATATATATATATATATATATATATATATATATATATATATATATATATATATATATATATATATATATTAACAATAGATGCCATGACATTTATTGTGAGGAATCAAAATATACCAATCAGTTATGGGCTTCAGAACCAAATATACAATAAATATATATTAATTAACAACCAAAATGCTGTTTTATAGCTAAGTTACTTAATAAGTGGTAAATACCGTACGTAAATAAATAAGTAAATCAAAATAGTAGAGACATTATAAACAAAAAATCTAATTGCAAAAATCCTTTAGATTCGCGCCATTTTGTAAACATAACGATTAAACATAACGCTTTACAAATATCATACAAATAGTTTTGGGCATAAAGCTTTAAACTAAACATAACGCTAACATAACGGTGAACATAACGCCAAAATTTTCAATTACCGTTATGTAACCGTTATTTTAGCGTTATGTTTTTTGCTGTGTAGAATAGAATAGAAAATTTGCTGTGCACACTTGAGGTTAAGTCTTATTTATGTAGAATTAAGACTATAACAGCTGATTAGAAAAAATTTCAGAAACCAAAATATTTATCAATGCTGTTTTTAAAAAGGTTTAAGTTATCTTTTTCTATTATCCATTGAGGAAGAGAATTCCAATCCTTTGTAACTCTGTTTGTAAAGAAGTGGTGACGAATTCTTGAATTGGTAAATTGTCTGCGTATTCTACAATTGTTACTTCTACTTGATTGTTCCAGCTCACTTTTCCCATTTGAGATCTTATACATTTGAATCAGGTCACCTCTTCTTTCTTTATCATGCAAAGTTGGCAATTCAAGTATCTTTAATCTTTCTTCATACGATTTCCTCCTTAAAGATTTGATTCTATTAGCCCTGTTTAGCATAAGTTCAAGATTGTCCTTCTTCCAAAATGGACACCAAACTGTTGTTCCATATTCCAAATGAGTTACTAATGATTTGTATAGTAACTTTAATGAAAATTCATCAAAATACTTAAAAGAGTTTTTGATCATGTCTAATTTTCTGTTTGCTTTGCCTATTGAATTAATATAATATTTCCAATCTAGATTAAAATTTTAAGATCTTTTTTTATTGTTGTTTCTGTTAAAACAGAATTGTTCAATTTATATTCATATCTAGGATTCTTTTTACCAATATACATGACTTTACATTTTGATTCATTAAATTTAATTAACCATCTTCAGACCATTTTACTGACATGTTAATGTGTTTTTGTAATAATTTATAATCATTATAATAATGATTGATTGAAATAACTTTGGTATCATCTGCATATAATTTAGTGACTTTATCCCTTATGGGCCAAATTATGAAATTTACTTTTAAAAAAATATTTAATAATCATTACACATCAGTTAAGGGTCAAATTAATATAAAATATAATTTTTTTTTTTGCTGACGTTAGCAATTTCCTAAAAATAATTGTTGCCATTTGGCAACATTTGCCTTCCATAGTTAAATATATTTAAAAAGAAATGTTTTAGAGCATGTATAACTTTTTTGTAATTGTATAAAGAACACCATAATGATGGCGTTATAACATTCATTATGTCATTAACATAATTAAAGAATATGTTTAAGATTAGGCTTAACACGATAGGTTTGACTATGCTTAGTCAGTACCGATATTTATATGAAAAGTAAGTAAAAACTATTGAATTTATTGTAACCAAATTAAAAGATATTACATATATATATATATATATATATATATATATATATATATATATATATATATATATATATATATATATATATATATATATATATATATATATATATATATATATATATATATATATATATATATATATATATATATATATATATATATATATATATATATATATATATATATATATATATATATATATATATATATATATATATATATATATGTATATATATATATATATATATATATATATATATATATATATATATATATATATATATATATATATATATATATATATATATATATATATATATATATATTAGATATACACAAAAATATTGCTGGCTACATGCATTATTTCATTCCTAATAAGTATTACAATATGTAATTTTACTAGCCTAAATACTTGAATGAGTTATTTTTTGTGAAATCCATGGAAACAATTTTTGTTGTCAGGCAAAGAGCTATTTTGCATTTTGCACAATATACCTGACTAAATCCAGTCTTGCAGAATGGACACCTGTTTTTTGAGTCTTTATACTTTATCCAATGATCTATGCAATTCATAGCAAACACCCACACAAGGGTTTGGTACTAAAAGTTTACAGTCACATTTACTTGTACTTTCATCAATATCAATCAATCTCTTTGATAGTCTACTAAATAACATTGAAGGTAGTTCTTTTCCAGCAGATATAAGAGTTTCAGCTACACCGGAAATAACTTTTAACAGTGAATAATGACTATTTCTGGGTATAGTTTATTGATCAGCATAACGACGATATAGAAGCCATTCATTGGCTTTACTGATATCTACACGATGAAATATCACCTTCAAATCTCATCTCCTTGTTTTTATTAAGTGCAATAAAGGGGTATCAGCATGTCTACCAAGTGGACTCCTCCCATAGGCTTGTTATACTCCTTTATACTACCATAGACTTGTTATACTCCTACAATTTCAGAACAAGAAACTGACTTGTGATTGAGTTTTTTGATTCCAACTTTTGACATTTGATAATGAAATGGAGGCTGAGAGTGTAGAAACAAGTTGAACACATTTGTTGTAAAACCATCTCACCAAAACCAATCCTGACTTGATATCTGTGAAATAGCAACTGCTGCCAGGCCTTTTTTTTTTAATTCTTTTTCTGTTGATAGCAGACATTTTTTAATTCTTTTTGATCTAATTGTTGCTGTGGTTAAAATTTTATCTGCTTTTAGCTTCAAACACAAATCCAAAGATATTAACTAGTTGTCAAAAAAAAGGTTATGATTCACATTTTTTGGAAATGATTCACAAAGATTTTTTATAATATATTCCCCATTTCTTTTCATATGTCCACTGACTCCAGAGTGGGAAAAAAATCCTACTCCATACCAGATACGCCGGCTCTAACAAAATTTTTAGACCCACATTATACTAACTTAATTATATATATATATATATATATATATATATATATATATATATATATATATATATATATATATATATATATATATATATTTTAAATAGTTGGATCATATATATATATATATATATATATATATATATATATATATATATATATATATATATATATATATATATATATATATATATATATATATATATATATATATATATATTTTAAATAGTTAGATCATATCACCTCTTTCTCTTTGTTTAGTTAAAGTTGTCAATTTCAAAAATTTAATTCGATCTTCATAACTGAATTACCTAATTGATTTAATCAGTTTGGTGGCTCGATGCTGCACTTGTTCAATTATTTTACAGTCACCTTTTTGATAGGGGGACCATACTGGAACTGAGAATTCTTGAAAAGGACGAATAAAGGTTACATAGAGTGATTTAAGTAAATAACATTCCAATCTTGCAAAAGATTTTTTGATTCGAACTAACATTTTATTTGCATTATTTGTTACAGACATAACTTGATCTTTCCATTCCATGAGATTTTTAGAAAATATTACCCCTAGATCTTTTATGCTGTTTGATTCTGGTAATTTTATGCCATTAATATATAGAGGGTTCTTTTTGGTGTTTACTCCATAGTGCATTACTACGCATTTATCAACATTGAACTTTAAAAGCCAGTCTTCTGTTCATTTAAATGATACATCCAAATCCCTCTGCAGACTTGAGGTACAATCGTCTAAAGTTACCTTGTACAATATCTTGGTATCATCAGCAAACAATTTGGTTTTATTTATTAATTTACTTGGCAGATCATTAATGTGTATAATAAACATTAACGGTCCAATAACAGAGCCCTGTGGCACGCCACTAAATATTTCAACCCACTCAGAAACAAATTCACCAAGAACTATTCTTTGTCTCCTATTACTTAGAAAAGCTTCCATCCATTTTAGACCTAAGCCATTAATATCATATGCATTCAATTTAGTAAAGAGTCTCTTGTGAGGAACACTATCAAAAGCTTTAGCAAAGTCTTGCATTACTACATCAACAGGTAAACCATTGCTGTTGCACGAGGAAATAAAGTCAAGAGTTTCTAGCAAATTTGTGGTACAAGATTTACCTTTTACAAAACCATGCTGTTGGATTGTTAATAAATTGTTTTTGTAAAGATGTTTTTCAATTCTTTCTCTTAGAATAGATTCTAATATTTTACAAGGAATAGAAGTTAATGAAAGGGCGATAATTGCTGGCCACTGTTTTGTCACCTTTTTATGTATCGGTGTTACATTTGCTGACTTGAATTGTATTGGTAGTTGACTGGTTTTAAGCGATTCTCTAAATATAAGCTTCATTTTCTTCTACATACAAGCTGTAGAAGAAAATGAAAATTAGATAAGTGCTTTTACTATTTATTATTGCTCTGTTCTTTATAAACATTGAGCACTTTATTTGTAGAATACACTAACATAATTTATATATATATATATATATATATATATATATATATATATATATATATATATATATATATATATATATATATATATTTATATATATTTATATATATATATAAACACATATGGTATATTATATATGTATATATACATATATATTATATATATAAATCATATATATAATGAAGTATATTATATATATAATTTTTATAACTATATATGCCCACCCAATAATTTTTCAAATAAATAATTTTGAAGAAATTGACTGAAAAAGTGATTTGTTGCCATATGGCAACAACAGACATACAAGTCGGTAAAATATTTAATATTTCAAAATTTAAGTAAAATATACTTTTTCAGTCAATTTCTTAAAAAAATTTTATTTAAATAATTTTTCAAATAAATAATTTTGAGGAATTTGACTGAAAAAGTGACTAAAAAAAAATGGTCCTTAAAACTATTTCGGGGTAGTACTGCCCCCCCTCCTCCATATAATTTTTGTTCCTACGGGCCTGTATACATAAAAAAAATATAGCAATATGTAATAGAAAAAGCCATCATAAAACTTGCACTAGATTTTACCAACTTTTTATAAGTTTTTAGAAAAAATAAGAAAATAAATTACAGTTGTACTTTTTAGAGACTAGAAACACATGCTAACAATATTCCTAATTAATTTTTTAATTTTATTTTATAAAGAATCAACACAATACTTTTTATTTTATAAAGAATCAACACTATATAAAAAATCGACACTATACAATGGCCCATAAAGGGTTAATAATCCCTCTACATAAGTCATTAATGAAGGTGACAAATAAAAGAAGTCTGAGTACTGAACCTTGTGGTACTCCACTAGTAACCATCTTTTTAAAATATATTCTCCTATCACCACCCTCTAAGTTCGATCTGACAAAAATGATTTACACCAATTTAACAAAATGACCCAAGTTCATCTTTTTTCCAGTATTTTTTTTATTTTAATAGTTTTTCCAGTAATTTTCTGTGAGAGGTTGAATCAAATACTTTTTTGAAATCCAAAAACAAAACTTCAACTGAAATGTCCATTTCATATGCTTGCGTGATTAAATCTAATTTTTTAACAGGTTTGTTGTAGAACATTTGCTATTAACAAAACCATGTTGCTCTTTAGAAATTAAATTGTTTTCAATTAGAAACACCATCATACTATCTCTTACAATTTGCTCCATAATTTTACCAATGATTGATGTTAATGAAACTGGTCTATAATTTGTTGGATCTAATTTATTACCCTTTTTGGATAACGGAACAATGTTTGCACATGACCATAACTTTGAAATAGTTCCTGTACCAAAAGGTTTATGAAATATTAATGCTAAACAATGCTAAAAGATCTTGAATATTCCTTTAAAACTCTTTTGGGTGAATATTATCTGGACCTACTGATTTGTACATGTTTAAATTACTCAAATGTTTCTGAATAATAGAAATACTAAAATATGGATCAGGACATTTTTTTAAATGATTGTTGCCTAAAACTTCTTCTGATAAATCAGATTGTATAAAAACAGATGCAAAAAACTCATTAAGAATGTTTACTATCTCTTGATTATCAGTAGTTATAATACCTTAGTTATAATATAATAGTTATAATATAATAGGATTGTTTTTTGAATTAAGTGCCAAGTTTCTTTCAAAATTTATATTGCTAGTATAAAATAAATAATTCCCATTGATACTGAAATGTTTCTATGTGAAATAAGTCATCATCAATGTTTGCCTTTTGATGACAAAATAGTATCTAAATAAAAACTTTTTACAGATTTTTTTAATAAAATTTTGTTTATTTTTTATTAAATTTGTTTTATTTAATCTAAACTGTAATCAAGTTTTTTCATTTCAACATTTCATGTTATTAGATATGTAACATCGAAGTTTAAGAAGTGAGAGAAAAAATAATATAATATATACACATACAAATGCTTACATATATAAACAAAAATATATTTTGCACTGAAGTTACAGAGTGCAAATAAAAAGTGGTAGTTCAAGGTAACTTAACATTTCTAATATGGTTAAAATTTGTCTCTATGAGAAATGCACAAGAATTTATCTCTATGACCAATATACAAGATATTGTCTCTGTTATCTATTTTTATTAGAAGATTTTGTCTCTATGATCAATATACAAGATTTTGTCTCCATGACTAATGTACAAGAATTTGTTTCTATGAACAATACACAAGAATTCGTTTCCATGACTAATATACAAGAATTTGTTTTTATGACTAATATACAAGAATTTGTCTCTATGACCAATGTACAAGAATTATTTTAGATTTTTTAGCTTTATACTTTATTTTACATAAATTTTTTTACTTGAAGGTAAAAAATATTTGTTTTTGTAAAGTTGCCTAAAGTAGTATTATTTTTTTTTGTTTTTAATCTTGTCAGTTATATCTTCATCATAGTATTTATACTTTTTTTATTTTATCGCTTTAAATATAGTTTAAACCTTAAAATTTTAAATAAACTTTTAGTTCTGAACTTTAAGAAAGTTTTTAAGATTTTTTATTGTTTTAAATATTTTACTTAGATATTTAAAATTTTAATTTTTTCAATTAGGTTAACTACCGACTATTTAGTAGAAAAACTTGGTCATTCAAATTTTCTAGAAATTTGTGAACTCGATATGCCAAATTGCAACCTTCGATCTGTTGAATTATCAAGTAAAGACATCTTCAATAATTTAAGAAGGTTCAGAAATAGTTTCTAAATGTTTTTTTTTGTTAGATTTATGCAATTGCTTAATTTAACAAAAAAAAAAACTTAATAAAGTGTAACAATTTAGTCTGAATTTGGAGCAAAATAATTTGACATGCTTTGGAGGAATATTTCAGATAGTAAACCTAAAGGTATTTTTTATGTATCTTTTTGAATTGAAATTTTTTGTTTATATATTTTTGAATAATTTATAAAATTTATAATTTTTTTTTTAATATAATTATATAATTTTATATTTTATATAAAAAAAATTTTTTTAATTATTTTGTATAAAAATTATATAATTATATATTTTGTATAAAAATATATATTTTATAATTATATAATTAATTTATAAATTAGTTATAATTATAATTATAAATTAATTTATAAAAAACTATAAAAAATTTTAACAGATCAATAAATTTGTTTATACTTTTAACTAAAAAAAAAATTTCAAATTATTTTATTAAAATTTTTTTTTTCTTTTTATTAGTTTGTTTTATTTCATCTAAACTGCGATTAACTTTTTTTATTTCAATATTTCATGTCATTACATCTGTAGCATTAAAAAATTTTTATTTCAATATTTCATGTCATTACATCTGTAGCATTAAAAAATTTTTATTTCAATATTTCATGTCATTTCATCCGTAGCATTATTTCAATATTTCATGTCATTACATCTGTAGCATTATTTCAATATTTCATGTCATTACATCTGTAGCATTATTTCAATATTTCATGTCATTACATCTGTAGCATTATTTCAATATTTCATGTCATTACATCTGTAGCATTATTTCAATATTTCATGTCATTACATCTGTAGCATTATTTCAATATTTCATGTCATTACATCTGTAGCATTATTTCAATATTTCATGTCATTACATCTGTAGCATTATTTCAATATTTCATGTCATTACATCTGTAGCATTATTTCAATATTTCATGTCATTACATCTGTAGCATTATTTCAATATTTCATGTCATTACATCTGTAGCATTATTTCAATATTTCATGTCATTACATCTGTAGCATTATTTCAATATTTCATGTCATTACATCTGTAGCATTATTTCAATATTTCATGTCATTACATCTGTAGCATTATTTCAATATTTCATGTCATTACATCTGTAGCATTAAAAAATGAGGAGAAAAAATGATAAATTTCTGTATAATTCATAACTGAAAAATTAAAATTTATGGTGTAACAAGTTCTGACACTACAAAAACAAAACAAAGCGAAGAGGTATCAAGGTTTTTAGTCCTTGGTTTCGTATAAAGAAAGTCTTATGTATCTTCTGATTCAAATCATCCACCTAATATAATAAAAGGAATCCCTCACACTATTAAGTAAAGATTATCAGCTGTGGCGGTAATTGAAACTGTGTTTAATAATTCCATTACTTTGTGTGAAGAGGCTTTATGATACAATTCGAAACTCACCTATCAACCGCAAAACTAGAAATTACTTCTTAGCTTTAATTGACTTATACTTTCTAGTAGGCTACATGAAGTTTTTAATTGAAACTGTATTACAGCTAGCTACAGTTGCATGCCTAACTCTTTTACAAATGTGCATAACAACAAAATTTACAATAAGATGAAAATATAAAATCAAAACAATGCAACTGCACATGCAAAGAAAATTAAATAACTATTGTTTTTCTAAGAATAGTATGTATACCAAGCTGTAAGTTCTGGAGGTTCTGAATTCAAAGATAAAGTTTATTTTCGTATAAGTGAAGCCGTGTTTAAATGAAAAAGATAAAGTTTATTTTCGTATAAGTGAAGCCGTGTTTAAATGAAAAAGATAAAGTTTATTTTCGTATAAGTGAAGCCGTGTTTAAATGAAAAAGATAAAGTTTATTTTCGTATAAGTGAAGCCGTGTTTAAATGAAAAAGATAAAGTTTATTTTCGTATAAGTGAAGCCGTGTTTAAATGAAAAAGATAAAGTTTATTTTCGTATAAGTGAAGCCGTGTTTAAATGAAAAAGATAAAGTTTATTTTCGTATAAGTGAAGCCGTGTTTAAATGAAAAAGATAAAGTTTATTTTCGTATAAGTGAAGCCGCGTTTAAATGAAAAAATATCAATCATCTTAAATCTTTCAATGCACCCAAATATAAAAATGACACCGAATTGTCTAAAGAAACATGGAATAATATATATACATACAGTAAAAACCTTAACAAGGTCAATGATTGTTTTTTAATAAAAACAAACCTCACAATGTAGTTTTTAAACCTGAGTTTTTGTACATTTAGGTTTAGGTTTTAAAACTATTAATTTGTTTTATTTAATCTAAAATTTTTCTAGTCTTTAAAACAATTAAAAAAAAAAGAAAACTTACATGTCAAGTGAAATATTAAAAACAACAAGGCAAGAATAAATATATATATATATATATATATATATATATATATATATATATATATATATATATATATATATATATATATATATATATATATGTATATATATATATGTATATATGTATATATATATATATATATATATATATTTATTTATTTATATATATATATATATATATATATATATATATATATATATATATATATATATATATATATATATATATATATATATATATATATATATATATATATATATATATATATATATATATATATATATATATATGTGCGGTGCAAAATTATTACTTCACCAAAAATTCAAGGTTCAATAAATGATCATTACTAAATTATTTAACTGCTAAGCATTTAACTTGGTTAATATCTCATTTTTATAACCTTATTTCAAGTTTGTTTAACAAAGTTTGATGGTGTGTTGTATCTTAATTTGAGTTTATGATTAATACTTTGTTTTATTGCCACAATTGCCGCAATCTTACTGAACAAAAAAAAACTTGTGTTTTTAAATTTTAAAAAATTTAAAATGATCATCCAACAAATTTCTATAGTCTTCATCATTTAATTTATTAGTAATAAAGCCAATTGTACTTTTTCTGAAATAACCAAACCCACCCAAAATTGTTACTCATCTGCCTCCCATAGCTCTTCCCTTCTTTTGAAAATATTATCTTTATCTTATGTCATGCAAGGAATAATTGAAAGCATCTGAAGCAGATTGAATTTTTTTTTTTATTGGATCACATAAGTTTTTGTCGTTCATTTTTCCAAGTCATGTAATTCATGGCCAAATGCGTTTGAGCCCTTTAGTTAGTAAAAATGTATTTGGTTTAATAAATTTTATTTGAAAACGGAGTTCACTGCTATTTGTTCTACAGCTTTTGGTGTAATTTAAATATAAATTTAATTATAATATAAATTTAAATTTAGATATAAATTTAATTATGGTTTTAAACGATTTTACCATGGTTTTAAACGATTTTATAGTTTTAGTTATTTAAAGTATAAATAGATCCAATTGAAGTATTTTTTTTTATTTCAATAAATTATCTACAATTTGATCAACAATCTTTGAAAGCTGCATTCAAAGCTTCATTCAAAGCTTCTACACAGATGAAGTGCAGCATTAGATACACACTGATGATTTTATATTGTAATAGGGAGCTACAGGAGCTTTAGTGCATACATCAACTAAAAATTTAAAGTCCACATATATACATAATATTAATAATAAAAATAGTAAAAAGCTGATTGAGTAATATATTAGTAAGTAAGGAGTAAATTCCATGGGCTGACTACTCTTTTAGGGAAGAAATTAAGTCTAACAAAAATGAAATGCATGTTGTTGTTGTTGAAGTCGAAAGCACTGAAGAACTCATTAAAGAGACCCTGAGAGTATACTTGAGTTATTAAGAATGAGGGATGGCAAATATATGGGTTAAGCCAGTATATATTTTCTAAGTAATTGATAAACTTGAAGTTGTATTTTCTTTTATTAACTTTAAGCTGTTTTTATTGAATTCTCAAGTATTATATATAATTATAGGTTTTGTGTTTGAATTACAACTTCATTGAATGCATTATCCCTAAATCATTTGAAAATGCAACTAAAGATGAGCAAAACAAACCTATTTTACATAATTTAGAAGTATTGCACCTTGGGTAATAATTTAGTTTATAAATTAATATTATTAAGGATGTCTGTCTTCTATTAAAAGATTTTTTATACAGGTACAATGGTATTAGACATATGAGTCTTTTAAAGTTGGGATGTCTTCCTTCACTAAAAACATTATTTCTTCAAGGTTTGTATTTTGGCTTTTTTACTTACTTAAATCTTTAGTTTCATAATTTTTATTTATTTAGAGGATAAATAGGTAATAGTTTTGGCTTTATTTTTAACATCTGATTATATATTGTTTTAGCACCTTTTTTGACAGGTCAAAAAAGGTGCTAGAATGATATATAATCAAAAAAGAATAATAAAAATATATATAAAATGAACACAGCATACTAGAAGTATGGCTGAGTTCATTTTATATCAATGAAAAATCAATGTTTAGCATAATACATTAGTTACTTTTTTTTTTCAATTATCAACCCTTGCATAGTCAACATGCCAATTCTGATATCATTTTCTAAATGTTTTTAATGCAATTAGAAAGAAGTATCTTTTAAAATCTAGATTTAAAAAAAGATATTTTGCAACAAATGAGTCGAATCTTAAGCGGCTCCATTTCCATAATTTATTTATGATCTCCATACTAATAAACTTTGTTCATAAACTATCAACTTTGTTTATAAAGTCTTTCTGACTTTATAAACAAAGTTGTTAGTAAACTTTGTTTTAAAGCTTTTGGATTCTTTTTTAATTTATATGACTCTTACCGTTGAAATTATGGTTTATATTTTACTGGAAAATATGTAATGATAACCTGAAACAAATATAAAAATCCACACTAAAACAAATCCAAGTAATAGTAAAAAAGTTTCAATTTTACAACTGATTTTGACTTATAGAATCTTAACACATAAATAAAGTTATCACATTTATCTAAAATAAAAAAATTATAATGATATAAATAAACTATATACACTATTAATTAAATCAAAAAGTGATTTTTTTTTTTTTAATGACTTACTGAATTTTTAGGTAATGAAATATCGAAAGTTGAAGGGCTTGAAAATCTTTGTGAACTAAGGGAGTTAGTTCTTGACAAAAATAAACTAAAGGTATGCAGCCTAATTTTTTTATTTTATTAATAGTTCACCTCTTATAGACTAAGGAAAAAGGGACTGAGGAAGTGGGATTTCTTTTTAATTTTTGCTCTTTTCTCTTAACCCTTAAATTCTTTTTTACATAAAAGTATGTTTTTGGGGTTAATTGAATCCATTCTAAACATAGACTCAAACATAGACCCAACCTATTTGAGAGATGGGTCAGGTTTGATTTTTCTGACCCAAATTCTGCCAAACTATCAACACCTATTAACAAAACTGTTTTGGTTATAATATTTGGACCTGTTAAACCCAGGCCTAGCTAAATTAAATTCAAGTCACAAATCATTATTGAATATTAGAGAAAAGATAACAGAAAGAAGAACTCATCTGATGATAATTTTTTTTTCTTTTAAAAGCACTGTTTTTTAAATACAAAACAATCTTTTAAATGACAATTAATACAATAATTTAAATAATATGATAATTTCCAAGTAGATATTTTTATTGAATAAGTATATTATTATGGAGTAAATTATTATTGAGTTCATGGTATTATATTTATGTGTATGTGTGCGTGTATTACTTGTCTTGTTATTTAATTATATTTTATGTTGAAACAAGCTTCAAACAATAAAACACTTTTCCTTTTTGTAGTCTTTGCATGAAACTTCGTTTATTAACCAAAAGAAATTAAAAGAGCTTCATATAGAGAACAACATGTAAGTTAGTATATAAAAACGAATAAGAATATATATTCTGATGAATGTTATTCAAATAATATGGTTTTACTGAAATTGTTGAATATTCTGGTTTTATTAAAGGCTTCAAAAGTTAAACTATTTAGAACAACTAGTATGTTTAGAAAGACTGTATATTGGGTCAAACAGAATTCAGGTACATTAATTACTTTTTACTAATTGATACATATTACTTGAGTTAGGTTCTTGAATAATTATTAATTTTGATTCATAATTTAAAATTAAAGCTTTTGTATTACTACTAATATACAGCTACACTATAGTTACACAAATACACTCAAAATCAAAGGGTTTTCTTAATAAGTTTTTAGGTAAATATTTGTGTAACCTAGTATAAAATGAGTTTAAATTTTTGAACATTTAACTATGTATTTTTATGAAGGAATTTCACCACAATCCGCAAAAAGGTTTTGTCTCTGGAAGCACTCCTCTCAGTTTGTTTCTCTTTACAGCAGCCTTGTATAACAAGGAGTTCATGTATGAAAGATTTTTGCAAATAAAATTTAAAAAATAAATTGAGTAGCCTTTTTGACTGTAGTGGGGCTTGGGGAGTTGAATTTAATTAAAAAATAAAATAAAATAGAGTTCACTTTTTTTTGTTGTCAAGAATTAATTTCTTTAAGTTCAATAGTTTTGACTAGTGTGTGATACAATAATTTTGTATGTTTAGGTCCTATTTTTTAACATAGTGAGGTAAATTATCTGGAACTTTTTGCTTTTGCTTTTATAAAGTTTGTTACAGGCTTGTTACAGGACATTAAGTAAAATTGTACTGTTTTTATATAAGTTATTCCTACTTGATAAAGACATTGTCAAAACTGTTGTGTGTAAATAAATGTATTTTTTATTTTTTAAATAACTATGCATTTTATTTTGAATACCGAGTTTTTATAGAGTAAAATTTGAAGTGTCTTTGTTAGAATGTTACAGTATGGTTAGAATTAAATGTTTTTTTATACTGCTATCATATGATTACGTCATAAAAAATAGTAAATAATAATTTTTTTTTTCAGTGTATTGAGATTTTTATTTTTTTATTGTAATAAGTTTTGTTAAGTTGTTGCTATTTGATAAGGTTGAAATGCTTATGCTGTAACATAATCAGATATACATGATTTTATCACAGTGTGATGAGGTTTGCATGTTTTTGTGAATCTAAAATAAATTTTGAAATTTTTTTTATTATCTCATATTTTCAGGATACTTTATCACAGTGTGATGAGGTTTGCATGTTTTTATAATCTAAAATAAATATTGAAATTTCTTATTTTTATGGCGTCCTATGATTCAACCGAATCCCTAATTTCAATTTAGAACCGAATATGAGAAATTTATTACACAACCGAAAATATTTACGAAAAAAATTAGAACCGAAAAAATTTCGATTGAATTTTCGATCGAAAGTCATTAATGATTTTAGAACCGAATTTCATTAAAATGGTTTACAACCGAAAGTTACACTGTTATCAAACATTGTATATTTTAGAAAACGATGAGGGAAAACAAAGAATAATGAATGAAAAGGTTGATGACCCATACCAAACCCTCAGTCGATGTAGCAGCACTCCACTGCGAGTCAGGCTATTTGTCAGTCGATGTATGTACTGAAGCCCCCAGCAACAGGCTATTTGACGTTAGGTGAAAAAGAAAGAATTTTGTAATTCGATCCAAATTTTTTTGGTTGTAAAATTCGGTTTAAAAACTTTCGGCGCAAGAAAGGATTTTGTAATTCGATCCTGCAATGAAAGTATACTTTTCGGTTTTAAAATTTTCGGTTGTGAAATATTTCGGTGATATTTTCGAGGATAAATATTTTCGGCTCTATCATGTGACACGATTTTTATTATCTCATATTTTCAGGATACTTTAGAGTTTGAAAAGCTGATAAATTTGACAAAGTTATTTGAAATATCACTTATTGACAATCCTGTAAGTACATTTTATTATGTAACTTTTTTAATTGTTTATTTTAATATAAGACTGGGTCTCATGGTGTGCTTTACATTTATAAATATTTTGTTGCCATTTTAAACATTATTAATTTAAATCTATAGGTTACAAGGCGGCATATGCATCGTCCCTTTTTAATATTTCATCGACCCAGTTTATTATATATTGATGGTATTATTATTACTAATGATGAGAGAATCAGAGCTGAGTTACACTTTATTGAACAACAGGTTTAAATTTTATTTAAATTGTTGAAATTTTATTTAACATATTGTTGTTGTTTAATGTTTTAATATATTTGAAGATTAAAGTTTAGTTATTTGTATAAATAATTATTTAAATTGCAGACCAATCCATTAGATCAATCTACACTTAATTTAATTCCAAAATCTAAAAAGTTGCTTGAGGTACTTACTTCTTGTTCACCTTTTTTTTTGTTATGTTAAGTTTATAAAATTATAAGGTTTTAAATATTTCTTTTTAAGATTACAAAATGTGTTAACAATCTCACTATTGATGATTATTGGTTTCCTTATACATCTGATTCTAGTGACGTAAGACAAGGTATTATAACAATCATCCGATGTATTTTCAATTTGTTTTTAATGTTACTCTTAGGTGCTTAATACACAGGAGAGGACACATAATTTTCAGACAATTCTCCTACCTAACTTAAGCTTTTGAACCCCCCCCCCCCCCTCTCCTTCCTTTTTTTATTTTTCTTTATTTTTACTTTTTATCAACAAAAAAACTCGTCTCAAACCTCAAAAAAAAACTTTTATTGTAAGTCTGCCTAAAAGTTAAAAATATAAACTCACTGATCAAAATAAAATCAAAAATTCCAACACCTCTGTTTATTAAGACCTCTCTGTTTATTAAATCTATACAAAATTTCCCACTCACCTGTTTATTTATTTTAAAAAAAACCTTTTAGTAATAATTCCTGGAAATCCTGGAACTTTCTTCTGAAATACTTCAATATTTTGTTATGATCTTTTTATCTTTTACATAATTATTATTAGTTTACTGAATTTGATAATTATATATATTCTGTAATGCAAAAAAAAAAATTAATGTTACTGTCAGTATTATTAACATCTAGTTATTTAGTTTGTTTTTTGTTTTCATAAATTTTCATAAATCAGCATATTTTGTTTTTTTCTGGTTGAGAAAAAATCAATACATCCTTAAAAAACCTAAAATTTTCCTCAAAAAGTCCTGGAAATATCCTAGAATTTTGAATTAGGTATTGGCTGGCCACCCTGAATTATATTAAGAAATGAAATTTAAATTTCTTAACATGGTGAACCTTTAAAGTTTCGCCGGTGCAGTTGTTGCCATCTTAATCTGGATATTCCATATTTTCTGCATTTAGGTATACCACTGTAATGTCACATTGCTGATCAGTTATTTAAAAAAATTGTTTAGCAATTTTTTTTCACATCAGCTGAAAAAACTTTTTTATAAACTAGCTATTTAATAGTTTCACCAGTTTCATCATCCTTTAAAGTGATATGCCTCACCATAATTCAATGTCGTTGTAATATTTTTAGGGTAAAAAGAAAAAAACTGAAAGATATATAGGGACCAGAACTGAACAGCACTTCCATCACTCCAGAAATAGAGGGTGCCAATGAGCTGATTATTGTTAGTAAATATAACATTTCATTCGTGCTTTGTTTCATCTAATAAAATTTCTACCGGCAACTTCACCTAGTCAGAATTTTTATCAAGTTTATCATTTTATCAAGTTTATCATTTTTTATCAAGTTTATCAATTTTTATCAAGTTTATCAAAAACATTTTCATGGAAGGATCAAGAAGCTGTGATTATGGTCAAACTTTTACGCCTAAAATAAGCACTTATAATCATGTGGAGATGTTTATATTTTAAAAAATTTGAAACATCAACACTAATTATAACTTAGACTTTTTAAGACTCTTAAAATTGGTGGTAAATTTAATTTATATTTTCAATAATAATTTTTGCTGAAAGCATTGCAGCATCTTCACCTGTAGCTTCTTTCTGAACTTTGTTAACAACTTTTTTTCAGCTAATTCGATTGTAATTGCGTAAAAATTCTTTTCTTTTTTTTTTTCTTTTTTATTTAGCTTTGGACACAGATTTGGTATCATATTTCTTTCTAAATATTTTAAAAATCTCTTTCTATGCACATAAGTGGCTTGACAGAGGAACACCTAGTTCCACAAGATCCAATCTTAAAATGGTAAAAAATTCTAGGATTTTACTATAATTGCAAGGATTTCTTCAATCAAAAATAATCAAATACAGATGAAACATATTAACATCTGTTTTCTTTTTAGAGCTCTTTTCATCTTTAGTTCTCTGTCTATTTTAAATCGGATTCAAATTCTTTTGCGTTTTTCTTCAAAAGTTTTAACTTGACCTTTTTTTTAACTAATATTTTTTTTAAAGATCTCGTTAGTTTTCTTTAGTCTACATAAATATTTTGTTTCTATTTGTGAACCAGGCTTATCCATATTATATTAATTAGTTTTAACCTAAAAGAAAACAAGAAATAGAAAAGGAGCTAAACCCTAGCTCATAAAAAAAGTCTTGATTTCTTTTAAAGCTGTAAAAGAAACTAAATAAAAAAAATTAAATCAAGAATTAATTGTCAATTAATGTAATTGTCACAGAAAGGCAGTTGTCATAGAAGAACATTTAATTTAATCCTCATAAAAAATTTTTTTTATGTATTTGGCTCAATCTGCAATCAAGTTTTGGTAGAGTCAGTTAAAATACTCTGGTGAATGTAATAATGACATCAGTTATCAGTGGCGGATTAAGATTTCTTTGGGCCTGGGGCTATTTTTATTTTTGGAGGCCTTTTTATGGGCCAGAGCCTACAAATGATTTTTTTTGAAAGAAAAAAAAAATGTACTCTAAAAAATGTACTCTAAAATACCCCGCAAATTTAGGGGCCCCTAAATTTGCGGGGCCCAGGGCTATAGCCCCCCTTGATCCGGCACTGCCAGTTATATGACCGATAAAAGAAAAATTTCTATTCCAAATTTTTCACGAAAGGATTCAAATCTAATTTAATTTTATCATTACCATCAAGGCCAAAAAAAATGTCTACCTTTTTCAGAATACCTTTAAATTTTACGGAAAAGTTTCAAAGAAGGTAAATGGTTTCTAGATTTTCAAATTTCAATTTGTTCTGTTTGTCGTTCCGTGAAAATTAGTTTAAAGGCTTTGTGTGAGACAATTAACAGATTTACATACAATATCTATAGTTAAAATAGTAAATTTAACAATAGTTAAAATAGTAAATTTAGAGATTTTTCTGATGAAAAATATTTTTTCAAATGATTGCAACTTGCTTTTTTCTTCATGTTCTATGTCAACAGTTTTAAACCTATACTAATTGTCATTTTAAAAAGTTATATAAAAGTTATAAAATTTTACAAGATTATAAGGTTTTTGTAATTTTTGGCCTATTTTTAGATTTGCTACGCCCTATTCGTGTATGTTTGTGAATATAATTTATTTTATTTAGTCCCATTGAAAGTTTTATCACAAATTCCAAGTAATCAAAGAACGTCAAAGAAAAACCAATAGTTTTTTTAATCATAAAATCAACTGTGCTAGATTTTATGGCATCTTGTTTGACATCAAATGGATTCATAAAGTAAACTTAGAGATAATTGTAAAAAATTTTAATTTTATTCGTCTCAAATGTACGGCTCAAAGAATTCAAATCATCAAATGTTTATCTTAGAAGAACAATACAAACAATTTTTAAAAGTTTTAAGACGTTAGATAATTTACTTATGTTTCGTCTTTGTAAAATCTGTGAATATTAAATAATTAATATATTAAAATAATATATTATATGTTTTGTATGTAATATATAATATATTGTATGTTTTGTATATAATATAATGTATGTTTTGTAACATTTTTTTTCCATAACTATTATTTTGTTATAATTTAAAAAGTTCCGAGTTAAAACAATTCTGATGAATAAAAAGTTGAGTTTATAGGCTAAAGTGGTTAATATATGACCTTTTTAAGTTTTATTATATGTTTGTTTAAAGTTTTTTTTTTCTCTCGTATAATCTTTTTTATGGCTTGATGTTACAGGGTTTCCGTTCAATATAGTTTTAAAATCCATAAAAAAATGAAAACCTTAAAGTTCCCTAAATAGCGTTTAATTTTAATCACGATAATCTTTTTAAGAGTAATCAATATTTGCAATCTTTACTTAAAGTGACCAAAGTTTCATTAAAATGTTTTAAGCCAAAGTTTCATTAAAATATAGTAACTATGTTAAAAGTCCTAATAAGTGTTAATGTGCTGCGATAAGCAAATCAAATAAAGCAAAAAACAAATAAAACTAAAGATGAAATGACTTTCAGTTACTTAAATATAAGTGTATAATTAGGTTCAGTTTAAGTTTATATATTCATAAGTTTAGTTATATGCACTGACATTGTGCAAAGTGGAGAAAAAAATGTAACGTGATGGTAAATTAACGTGATGGTAAATTAAAAATACCATCATTACGCTTAATCATTGTTTTATAGAGAGATATATAAAATGGGAGTGGCGGGATGGTATATACTTTATAAAAAAGTGACGGGATGGCATCCCGCCTCACTTGGAGCACTTTGCACTGATATAAATATGTACAAATCTTTATCCTTTTTATATATATATGTGTATATATATATATATATATATATATATATATATATATATATATATATATATATATATATATATATACATATATATATATATATCCAAATTTTACACATTTAAAATGCAGACTCTACAAACCTAAAAGTGTTCTATATAATAACATAATACTGGAGTTAAAAAGTTTTCGAAAAAAAAATATTTTTAGGGGTAGCAATAGTCTCTAAAACATCTGACGGGCCCCTAATATCAAGTAAAAAGTTCTTTAAAAGTATATCATGTTGGGTCTCAAAAGAAGTGAAATTTTATAAAAATTACTAAAATATTAAAAACAATTTATAAAAACATAAAATAAGAGTTTTAGCGACATTTCTTGTTGTACGTAAAGTTAAAATAAGTTGTAAAACATCAAAACAGCATCGTACTAATTTTTCTTTTTTGTGATATTTCGGTCTACTTTGTATAGACCATCATCAAATAACAATTAAAAAAAAAACCGTTAAAATTTAAAAATCATAAAGAAGACGACGACTACAAAGACGACGTCAACAAAAATTGTTTTGTTTTTTTACGATTTTCTTAAATAGTGGTCTCCAACTATTCAAAGCAACTTTTATCCCGTTATCCCTGTTAAGCAGTACTGGGAATTGTTTAACCTTCTGAGATGTTTGCGCGTAGTTAATTTGAAGCGATTCCCTTATTTTCCTTTCATGATAATTGTTATTTATACATAGAGTTTTTGGGTGTAGCCAGTCGAATATCCGATGGCATTCTTTGCAATGCTCAGTAGCTCCAGAAGCATGCTAATTGCCATTCATGCTATTAATTTAGTGTTCTATGCTTCTTTGCAAAATTCTCTTTTTTTTTCCCAATATAAATTCTCCCACACGAACGCGTAAGCTTGCGCACCCCAGGGTTGCTGTTTGGCATTAAATTAGATTTGTTGTTACAGAGAATTGTTTTTAAATTAGGTGGTGTTGTAAAAAAACTTTGACAATATATGTTTTAAGTGCTTTCCGTAGTTTTGGTCCAAGTGTTGGTAGTCAAGGTAGCTTTATTATCGCAATATTATTTTCGAGTTTTTTTGCAACTTTATTGTTGGGATTGTTTTTACTTGAAAGGTAATTCGTGGCAATCGTTTCTAGATTTGATCTCTTATGACAAACATATTTATTATAAACTGAATCTCGTTGTTAATGTATTTTTCGGAGCAGATTTTAGTGGCTCGTGATATGAAACCTTTAAAAACCTTTAATAATTGCAGGGTTGATATTTGAGTCGGGTTTTATTTGTATGTTTGTTATCGCTTCTTCACGGTAGACTTTGAAATCATAATGGTAATTATTTGTGTTAGTTATTTATGTAAAATTTAGTTCTCTCTATTTTCAACCTCTGACGTGTACTGAATATTGGAGTCTTGTTGATTTAATAAAATAAAAAATCTGTTATGCTTTTCAACTGATTCAAATCATGGCTATCATCAACATACCTTCTATAATATTTTGGTGAAAAATTGTTGATTTTTGCAATATGTAGAGCTCTTGTTTCCAATTTTTATTAGAATTCCTCGGCAATAACAACCATTAGTGATAATACAATTGGACCTGAGCTAGGTATAGTTCTAATTTCATTTTTATACAAAAAATAGTATCAATTAAGACATAGTTCTATTAATTGGTGGATGTCAGTAAGTGTTAATTTGGTTCTTGTTTACAGATCAGTTATGTCATTGTTAAGATAATAATTTATCACGGGTATAGCTTTATCAATTGGTATTGATGTATACAAAGCTATTACATCATACGATATTTGAATTTCATCTGGACTGACACACCAGGATTTGCTTCGTTGACAGATTATTTATTGACTATTGCTACCCCTAAAAATATTTTTTTTTTCGAAGATTTTTTAACTCCAGTATTATGTTATTATATAGAACACATTTAGGGTTGTGGAGTCTACGTTTTAAACAATGTCTTTTTTTTATGTTAGAAAAACTTAAATGAACTTTACAAGTTTGCTATACATTTGAATCCTTTTTGATAGGTATATTTTACGAAGTAAAAAAAAAAAAAATTCAAATATTTTAAAAACAAAGGTTTTGGTTTCACTTTGAGATTAACGTTTACAGTATAAGTATAGTCGTGCAAGAATTCTTACATCCATTTTTTTCACCTGCAACGACCCATTGAAATGCGTTTTGTAGGTTCTTTTTTATCTCGATTTATTCTTATTTATTCCTTTTTTTTAAAAAAAAAGTCTTATTTCTTCAAATGGTTTTTCTTTTTTTCGTTGATTTTTCTGATTCCGTTTTTTTTTTCTTTTTCTTTGTCGTCTTCGTATTTGCTTTGTATTTTAGTCCTTTCAGTTGGATGGTGACGTTGGATCGTTTTTTCTATCTGTTAGGTGGTGTTTGAGGTTTCTGGAGTTTTTAGTGTTGTTGCAATCGCATTAAGGTTCACAAGAAGAAAATATAATGTTGGAACCTCAATTTGGAGTTAAATCACAAAAATATGCATTTCGGTGCTAAAGACTCCATCTGAGTAAGTTTGAGTAAAGTATGATAAAATGCACCCGATGAAAAATCCCTTCCAACAAAAAGGTTTCTTTTCTAAAGTCTTTTCTTCTCAAGAGCAATTAACACATTCATTTTTGCAAGATCGGTTTGTAGGACTTTTGAGGGATTTTATGGTAGTCAAAATAGGCTATTTACAAGGAGGTTCAAATTATGTACTTGTGCAGTTTGCTTAATAAATAGAGGTATCAGATCAAAATTTTAATACCTACAATACCTTTAGTGCGTGATTGAAAAAATTCAAGAATTCATCTGGCCAAACTTCGATTTTGATCTTGAAGTTTGCTCATCAGTAGTTTGTTCCAACTGCTGAAGAAACTTATTTAGTTTAAAAAAAAGGGGAGACTGCGTATCTTTCCAACTGGTTAGAGAAAGTTCAGCTATATCAAAGGTACTTTAATATGAATGAATTGCTACTTTGTGTGTGTGTGTGCGTGTATATATTATATATATGTATATATATATACACACATATATAATATATATGTGTGTGTGTGTATATATATATATACATATATATATGTGTGTGTGTGTGTGTGTGTGTTTGTGTGTCTATATATATATAACGGGTTATGCATAAGTCTTTTTTTATAGAGTCGTAAAAAAATATTGTTAGTTAGATAAAAAAATGAAACTATATGGTAATAAAGAACATTCATTCTAGTATTTATTAACACATTTAACATATTGAATAGACGCCTCTATCAGCGATTTTTCTAAGTTTGTTTTAATACTCATCATTAGTCTTTGTAACAGATCTGGATCATTTTCTTTTATTTCATTTAACTTGCTCTTTATTCTTCAAACTAGTTGATATATGCTACGTGCTCTCCAACCATCACTGTATACCATCTGACTTAAAATAGCCCAAAATGTTTCAATTGGTCTAGCCTGTGGAACATTTGGTGGATTAGTGCATTTTTGTACAAATTTTATGGAATTATCAATAAACCAATTTTCTGTTTTATTAGCATAATGAGCAGTTGCAAGATCTGGCCAAAACACAAAATTATTATCTTTATGATGTTCTCTAACAAATGGTATAAGTCTTTTCTTCATACATTCTTTCACATATATATTGGATGTTATTGAATTCTTTGATCTATGTATATAAGGTTCACAAAATCTATTTGAAGAAATGCAAATCCAAACCAATACCTTTTCTTCGAAATTTTTTTCAACTTATATTTTACATTATCAGGGGCTAAAAATTTATTATTTGTATGGTATATACCATTCCCAGGTATATTTGAGTTTGATAGGTTAAAATATTTTTCGTCATCCATGATTATATCTTTTTCATGGAATACTTTATTAACTAATCTTCTCAATGATGTTGCTGCTCTCTGTTGTTGATCTTTTTCATACAAAGGTGCTTTTTGTTTTTTGTAGCATTTAATATCTGTTTTGAAATTAATAGTTCTTGAAATTGTACTTTGGTTCACCTTAAAATATAAAGCTGAATACTTTTGACTAATACCAGTTGAATTATTTAGCATTTTAGTCAATCGTTTGACTTTTTCCTTATCCATTTTTGGAGGACAACCTGATCTAACCAAATCATTATACACACCATACTTCTCATACCTTGCAAGAATACTAAATATAGTTGACT